TCTCCTTTTCCGCTTTCCCTTGTCAGTAACTGCTTGACTCCCCGTTATTTGTTTCAACAACTCATCTGTTTCTGTCAACTGACATAACTTTTCCCTAGCGTCATTATTATAATTAATGCAACTTGCCCAATTCCTAATGAATTGGGTGTGGCACAGAACATCTATGTGGTGCAGGTACTGTCGTAGAGCAAGAGCTTCATTATGAATTTTGTCCAGATTTACATATACAATGGTTTTCCATTCCACATTGTACAGGTTCGCTTACGCCCTTTCTTTCATAGTAAACACAAAGTGACTCATCATATCTCTCCAAGGAGTACCCTAATTCCTTTTGTGCTGTAGCACTCAGAAATACTGTTACAGACAGCAAGATTTTCACAGTTGCCGCGGGTTGCATCCCCATCCGAAATTGAGAATAAAGAAAAGCAATGTATTTCCTTTCCCTTTAGTTGCATATAACAACAGTATTGGGTCCTACACGCTACTTCCCCCTTGGTCCGCTTCCCGAATCCACTCTAACTTACCACTCTATCTCTCAGATTATACAGAGCTATCCTACTAATAGTTCATTGATACACACGCCATTTGCTTAGAAAAAAGTTTTCAGTCTGCTGATGTGCACTTGCTGTGTACAGCGCCCCTTCTTGATAGTAGAATTTACCCCATTCACGGATAACACTTCATAGGGCCCGATGTACTGAGGACTAAGTTTCTTCGATCTACCTCTGCGGACTGTTTCGTCATACAGCAACACCTGCTGACCTACCTCTAATTTAAATGGTTCTGTCCCCTTGTCATACTGTTCCTTGCTCTTTTCCTTGCATAAGATTAGTTTCTGTCTTGCCACTTCGTGTCCAGTTGGCAGTCTCCCCTTTAACTCCGTGAGGTAGTCCTCGTAATTGTACTGTATGCTGGGACTATCTCTTAGTGCGGATGGCACTTCTGACTTGAATCCATACACCAGTTTGAATGGTGTGAGTTCGGTAGCGGCATGTGTAGTTGTGTTGTACACGTAAACTGCATACGGCACAAGCTCATCCCAGTTAAGCTGATCTTCGCTTACGTAGTGGCGGAGATACTCATGACTTCTCTCTAAACTGCCATTGGACTCTGGGTGAAATGCTGTGGTCTGCATCTTTCTGATCCTTAGTAACTTGCAAACGTTCTTGAACAAATTACTCAGAAAGTTTGACCCTTGGTCAGTCAGAATTTTGGCAGGCACCCCAAATTTCGAAACGATATTCAATACGAACGCCCTAGCGACAGTTTCTGCATCTTGCTGCGGAAGCGGTGTCGCTACTGTGAATTTTGGAACGTTAGTATGTATTTATTTCCTGATTCACTCTCTAACAAAGGCCCTACGATATCCAAGGAACACTTCTCAAAGGGATGACTGGCTGTTGTGGTTATTTCCATAGGAGCTTTCCTTTTCACCCTGAGTGCTTTATTCACCTGATACTTAGTACACTTTCTCACATACTCCTCTATTTCTTCCTTCATATTCGGCCAAGAGTAATGCTGTCTAATCGCCTGATATGTCTTCTTCATACCCCGATGATCCCCGAGAATTGAATCGTGGTTTTCATGCAATATTTTTCCCTTTATCTCCTCATCTGTTTCCTCCGAGTCACTCACCTCCCTATTAAGAGCACCTATTCTAGACAAAGCGTCTGCGTTTGAATTTTGTGACCCAGGTTTATATACTGCTTCATAGTCTTATTCCTCGAGTTGCAGGCACCACCTAAGCAGTCTCGAACCCGGGTCTTTCACGCTCATGATCCAGGTTAAGGGTTTGTGATCACTCACAACCTTGAACTTCCTACCATACAAATATGGCCTGAAATACTTAGTTCCCCAGACAATGGCTGCTAATACTTTCTCCACCGTACTGTAATTCTTCTCAGCTTTGTTAAAGCTACGACTTGCATACGCAGTTGGTCTGTCTTTAGCGATCTCTCCCTGAGACAGAATCGCCCCTGCACCTTCGTTTGATGCGTTAGTGGTCAAGATAAATTCCCTGGAGAAATCGGGATACTGCAAGATTGGTTGTTACATTAGCTTCTGCTTTAAGCTTTGAAATGCATTTTCCTGTTTTTCTCCCATTCGCACTTAGCATCCTTCTTCAAGAGTTTGTGCAGTGGAGCTGCTATTTTGCTAAACTGAGGGACAAACCTCCTATAGTAGCCTGCTAGCCCTAGGAAACCTTTCAATTGTTTAGCTGTTTTCGGAGTAGGGAAATTTTCAATTGACTCTGTCTTCTTGGGGTCAAGTCGAACCCCGTCCTCTGAGATTACGTGACCGAGGTAACTGACCTCCTTTCTTAGAAATTCGCATTTGTCTGGCTGAAGCTTCAGACTATACTTTCTCAGCCTTGCAAACACGGTGCGCAATTTTGCACCGTGCTCTGCTAAGCTATTTGCATATAATATGATATCGTCCAGGAAGACGAAATATTTTGTGTCTGTGGGGCCACTTAAGACGGTGTTCATGAGTCTCATGAACATAGCAGGTGCTGTCCGGAGGCCAAAAGGCATTTTCCGGTACGCCCAGTGCCCCTGCTTCGTACTGAAAGCCGTCTTGTCTATATCTCTGGGGTCCATTTCGATCTGGTGATAACCCATGGCTAAATCTAAACAGGAAAAGTGTTTAGCCTGTCCTAGTTGGTCTAGAATCTCAGCGATATCCGGCAAGGGATAAGCATCTCCTACCGTCTTCTCGTTTAGCTTTCGGTAATCTACTACAAGCCGGAATTTCTGCTGGCCACTAGCATCCGCCTTTTTAGCTACCACCAAAATTGGACTGTTCCATGGCGAGTTACTTTCTTGAATGACTCCTTCCTTCAATAATTTCTCTACCTGTTTCTCTACTTCCACTTTCTGGGTTTCAGGAAGTCTATAGGGTCTCGTGTTCATTGGTTCGGTCCCTGGCTCGACACGTATGGAATGTCGCGTTGCCTAAATGCTACTTAAAATGTCTCCCGACAAATAGAACACGTCTTGATAATCTTGACACGTCTCTATCAATAATCTCTTTTCTTCATTATTCAGATGATCTAATCTCAGCTGTTCCAAGATTCTCTTTTCTCTATCCTTTTGCTTTTCTTCAGTTGCTCCCATTGGATTCTGTACTGGTTCGACTTCGTTTAGTTCCACTAACGGCTCCTGAATTTCTACCTCCTCGTCGTTCGTATTTAAAATGCTAGTTATCACATAACCGTCTATCACTTTGGTTAGTGACCCTGCCATAAAAATTCCTTCTTGAATTTCGCATTTGTCTAGGATCCCCACTAATGGCGACCCTTGCTTCACCGGCAGCTTGACAGTGCATTCCGATCTCCGCGGTAGGATCATGTTCCTGGTCTCTCGCGTCTTTTCTGTCTCCGCGATTTCTGTTTGGTTAGCATTCACCATCTTGATCATCTCCCCATTTAGCTTAACGCATTGAGTGTCATAACATCTTTGTGCTTTTGCATTTCGAAAGAAATCCCTTCCTATTATCCCGTCACAACGAATATCTATCTGCTTGTTTGCTAAGTGAAACTCGTGCGTAATCGAACTATTCTCGCGGTTAATCTCAGCCTCTGTTGCTCCATGTGTTTCTATCAGGGATCCGCTTACGCTTTTCATCCTTACTTTTCTCTCTGGATCATATTCTGTCGAACCTATCAATTTCTGTCTCTTGAGGACACTAATGTCGGCTCCAGAGTCTATGAGCAGCAACAACTCACCTGTCTTGCTAATGTTCACACACAGTTTGGCCTTCCGATCGACCTTACAGGCAAAACTTTCACAGCTTACCCCCTCCCTTTCCTTCCCCATACACGCGCAGATAAAGAGGCAGGCTTCATGCCACAATCACGGTCTTCCAGCCTATAATGCTGAGTCGCACACATCACGTGCTACGGTCCTGCAGGTAGAACTGACGGACTGACGGGTTTCCCACAGGCCAACAGACCAAACGATTGGCCGGTCGGCCGGCCGCACCACACACATCAGTTTTGCCTTTCAGTCTTCAACTGTGCAGGCCGAACTGGAGGCCAAACTGTGTGTGTATGGAGGCCCTGAGTAGACTGGACTGTCCGTCGGCTGCCATTTCCCGATGGTCGTGATTCTTTTCCCGAACTGTTACTCCCCAATTTCCCTTTAGTAATTTCCGGTCTATCTGCCTTTTCCTAGGTGTTGTACATTCCCGAACTATGTGCCCCTTTTCGAAACAGTTTTATCATACAATATCCCGGCTGGACCCTCGACTTTCATGCCTTGCAGAAAACTGATCGACCCTTGCGTCCTTCCTGCCCTTAAGAAAGCACCTGCTCGCCACCTGATTGTTCCTGCCACAGTTACTGCATTTCAAATTATCCGAATCCATGTTTGAACATTTGTACCTCCCAGTCTTTGAAATTACAGCACTTTCCTCTTCCAAGGCTGTCTTTGCTATTTCATAGAATTTGTCGTGATTTCTACTGCTTACAATTGTTTGTATTCTGTCTGAATACAGACCCTGCACAAAGCAAATATTTCTTAACCTGTCTGAGAGAGTTAAGATTCTGCCTCTCTCCTCTTGCTCACAGTCTTGCAAAGCAGCTTCTCTGAATTTGGATCCCAGTTTCTGAATGCGCTGGATCCAGTCAGACACACTCTCCCCTTAGTTTGCTTGGTACTGAACAGTTTATTAGCATGGTAATCTAGCGTTCTTTTCTCGATATACATGTTCTTTAGGAATTCTCTTAATTCTCCCCAATTTTCCAAATTTCTGTGAGAAATTGCGGTTCTTGTCTCTCCGCTAATTCTCATTAAAAGAAACTTATACAAAGTGGTTGAGTTCCTAGGCTCAGTAACTTCAAATGCTGTGTCTAAATTTGCTATAAAAGTGAAAACTTCCCTTCTTTCTCCCTTGAAAGGAGGTATAAGCTTTAAAGCTTCACTGATTGCGACATATTCTGTCATAATGGCAGTACTACTGTCCACGTATATAACATCAGTATCTAAATTTTGATACAGGTTAGGCATGGATTGAGCAAGCACACACCCTTTCTGAAGTTCTCTGTATGCCTGCTGCGTAGATCGCTTGCAGCACGTTGGATTCTGCCGTGTAGACCAACCGCAGCGCTATGGACTGGCTCACACTACGGTACGCCCGTTGCCACTTCTCCGGCCTAGATCGACCCTCAAACCCGAACTGCCGCTGCTGCATCCGTGGGACGTGGAATCCTGGCTGCAAATTCCACACTTCCCGCTGGTGGTTTCCCTATTGGGATTCCTTCAGCTTTTCGCACTCTTTCTTAGCACAGTTACAATTCCGTTTTCCAATACTTCACACACACACGTGACGTCAATGTGTTGGTATTGTTGCCAGTCTGCTGTTCACGCACGTGCACACACCACAACAACCCCACATCTGACACCAGTGTTATATCCCAGTATTTCAGGGATACTCAGGTTCGCCAAGCGGTGAGCAATTCGATGTACGGGTTTGGGATTGGGTGGAAAGACAACAACAAGCAATTAGATTTAACAGTGTTATATTGTTAGAATAAGAGATGCTTGATGAAGTACATAGAGTTGGGTGGGCACTTTAAATATTCCCTACAAGGGGTGAGGCCGCAGTCCTGCCAGTCTAACCCTTGTGACAACTGGAATCCGACTCTCTGTGTCTCGCCTTCACCTCCAAGCTGCAGTCTGCCCTTGTACCACGGTCCATCTGGGTTCTGTCCTTCACACATGTGGAAGGGGAGGAGACCACACACATATTTGTTTAGTCTATGCATTGGTTGCGATCCAGTCCACAGCTTGGAAAGAATATTTAAGATGGCCAAGGAATACAAAATATAGTACACAATTACAAAAGTACTCACACTTCCACATATGCAACAGAATATTATAACGGAACGGGCTGCATGAAATGAAAATTATAAATGCTAGTCAAACAAGTTGCATATATAAATACATGAACACTAAGGCAGAGCCAAACTTGGCAATGACCTTAATATAGTTATGTTGTGACGGTTTTAATAAAGAAATTTAATATTTCAGTTGTTGCAAGTGATTCTCAGTTTGCAGTTTGTTCAGCTCTTTGCATCTCTGCACTGTGTTATTATGGATATGACTTTTTGGTATGTTACTAAAAACGTTGAATGAAAGTGCTTATGCATACGGACACCTGAACTGTGATACTACAGTTCCACATGGCAAGTATAAAGGGATCAGATTTAATTCAGTTAATCTTCAGAGGCATAATAATTACTGACAGAATCCTGTTATTGGGCGTTTCTATTTACTAACATATCCACGAGTTAAGTTTCCGGAATGAATTAATATAGTGTCATTCCATCAAGAAAACGTAATTGGCAAAGCTAAAGTATTTGGTGTCGTTAACTTTATTGGGTCAAGTGCGCTAAACCAGTGACAGTTCATGGCTTTCCTTGACAAAATGAAAAGTGAATATGGTGACATTTTTTGCTATTCAGAGGCTCGATGCCTTATCAAAGGTAAGGTTCTGCCATGTTTTCTGTCATGGTTAGAAGATACCATATTTTTTTCTTAATGAAAAATACAGTGAGTAACTTTGAAGTTGCGTGTAAGGTGTCTGATTTATCTCCCTTCAGAGGTATAGATCTGAATGACCTAAATAGAAAGCTGTAACGGAAATGCCAACTTGTAAGTGAATTGCATTAGAATATGTCCATCTTCTGAATTATATTGTCACTGTTTAATTCTAAGTTCTTTTTTAAATAGCACCTGTTACTTTCCAAACTGCCAGAAAACATTTCAACAATAGAAGACAGATATTTGTCGGTACATCAAGACACATTGCACAGTAACATACACACAGATTTGTTGGGCTTCGATCAGGACAGAACATCGTTAACATCATTAACCCCTATGAAGCTTCATATAAAGACGCCAAACCTGCTTTAGAGCATGAACTAATCGACTTTCACCACAGCATTGACCTTAGTTATAAATTGAGAAAAATGCTGTTTAACTTGTGTGCCTTCATGAATCTGCTGCAGGAAGTAGCTCTTTATGGGTGTTTGTTCAGAAGCACCTGTATTTATGGAAGAAAGTAGATGAAAGTAGATGAAAGTTGAAAGTAGATGAATCTACAACTGAACTTGCAGACATAAATATCTCTTGGCAGTTCTTCGGTTGAGCACAAGCATCACACTTTACCTGAAGTGCGAGACATCCGCTCTGAGGCGTAATGGTCACTTTAATAAGTTATTCTTTAACTAATTATAAACATTACGAGCTTCTTATGTACATAATTTTTACATTAGTTTTTAGATTTCTTAATACAAAATTTTTGTTGGATATATATTTCAGAATTTCCATCCAGCTTTCTTTGCAAAGGTAGTTCCAGTATTCGTGCTGATAATATTAAATAAGAATCCAGTTGTTCCTTATAAAGTTTAAATTATCCGGCCTGCAGGCAGAGGAGAAGTTGGCTGTGTGGGGGAAAACGTTTTTGTATCACTGCATGGCAGAAGGCTCAAGAAAATATGTGCATCTGAGTGATGAAATGAGAGGGACGTTTGGAAATTTCTTATACAGGTGGCCAAGAAATGACTTGCCTTTTGTGTAACCCACCTCCTCTCATCAGTAGTCCATATCCTGAACTCATGGCATTGTGAAGTTGGTGAAATCTGGCAGTTTACAACGGACTAGACATGTGTCTGGAACGATCTGCATGAGATACGTACAAAATTGTTGTGGCGAACTTTTTGGAACACGGCCATTTGCATAATTGAGAATGAGATGGACACAGATATTAGGAAAATTAGAAAGTCAGGACCGTCTCCAACAGCGGCCGTCCGATACTTCGGGTACTGCTGTTCGAGAGTTATAAAATTTAATTCTTCTCAGCCCTGAAATTCAGTAAACTAGTGTCGAAATATTTTATTATACCCAGTTTCTTTGCTATTAAAGGCGCATTTTATACTACTTTATAAATAACAAAAGAAACGCACCAGACAAGTCACATCAAGCCAAATTCACATCAGAATTACTAACCAATGACAAATGGTGCTGCTTCAGTATTGTCTATGATTTTATTGAGATATATTCTACTGCACATTTGTTAGGCAGTTCACGTCTCAGTTTTGTAGCGTTTACAGTTGTTGGAGCGGTATGTATGAAGAAGACATAATGCCGTGTAAGCCTGTGAAAATCGTTTCAGAGATGTTGCCAGGAAACTGGAATGAAGCAGAGAACTTGTATGATTTTGAGAGTAACAGATGTCCTTGTCTTTCATAAATGCTTTCATACATATGATTGTATGTATTTCACATATAAACTCATCAAGATAACACACGATGTTTTATTGTATTTTCTTCTATGGTAAATCATAACGGAAATAATATGTCCTATGAATGAGGTTATGACTTGATGAACTACTAAATTATAATATGTCTTCAGACGTTAATATGAACAAAACTGTAATGACTTGTGGCCGATAATCTCGTAATCCCTACATTAATGCTACAGCATGCATGAGCGTCACATCTGCAGATGACGCTGTGAAGAGGTTGAAAATGATGACGTCAAGCCTCTCTCCACCAATGACATCAGTGTCAATAGAATTATCTTATATTATTGCTATGAATACATATTACCCCCCCCCCCTTTGTAAAGCAGATGGAATACCCTTCATCAGTATCCAGAACTCCAGTTTTTCATAATTAGAGTTTGAAGTGGGAGAATTAATAAATGTAATATGCTTGCTAGTCTTTTCTTGACACTTAATGTATACAATGAATGGGCCTGCCAACATAGTGGGAGGCATTAAAAAATCCAGTTCTTAGAGCATCAAGCTTTCCTGTAATTTATTTGACATTGTTGGCAGTAACTGATACCTATAGCGTCGAATAACACTGATATACACAATTTTTGTTTCTTATTGTATGTTATATGATTTCATTGTGTTTTTGTTGCTGATAAAATTTTGAAATCAGAATTTTGATATCACACACAGATTTTTAAAAATTTAGGAAGAAATGCTTTTAATTATTCCTATGGCTAGTGTTTAAATAATTGTCTAGTTTTTTCCTGTCAATCTTGTTTTACTGGTTTTAGTTTTTTTTTTATTTTTGAATTAAACCGAATGGCATTAAAATATAAAATGTAACTTCAGAGTTACATGTTCTAGCTGCAAGTCAGAGCTTGCACAAGGTTGTTCTCTTGTTGATGTTGAATGTAACGGTAACGTCACAGCCAAGTCTTTTGTGTGCAAGTTCATGCATGCACAAGCACTAAACTGCTCCTTAACATTTTAGTCCTTTCCAGCACTTCAGTGTGCTTACAACAGTGATTGAATGAGTACAGAGTTTCATTATGCCTCAAAAGTGTGTAAATGATTTAGTAGACACTTTTCGTTTCATGTGTGAGAACTGTACTATAAAATTAACATAAAGACTGTAACAGCATTTATTAAGAAAACATTCAAGCTTTTTTTAGGTGCAGAATAGGTGACCAGGATGCATCTTGGGACCCTCTCATTATCTGTGCCAACTTTTTGAGAGGATGGTTGAAAAGTTCTTGGAAGTCCATTCCATTTTATGTTTCAATAGCCTGCAGAGAACGAAAAGATCATTAGGCAAAATTAATCCTGTTTAACTATGGTATCCGGAATTTCCTTAAAATCTAAACACGATATACAATAACCACCGTTGCCATTCACCTTCAAATCAGTGCTTCACAGTCAAGAACTTTCAGTTCCTAAATCACCCGAGAAATGGGCTACTGAAGATAACAATAATGACGAGCAAGTCCCTATGGAACAGAATGTCATCGATACAGACTTTCAGCATTATACATCAACTGAGCGGCATCTCATCTTCCAAGGTAACTCACGACTTAGTAACGGATTTGAGCTTATCTAAGAGTCAAGCTAAATTTTTGGGATCACGATTGCAGAGCTGGTGGGACGTGGTGCAGAGAAAGTTCGATCTTTCGCTACAGGTTAAAAGATTTTGCCCAGTGCTTCAGCAGGTGATTTGGTTTACTGTGAAGATGCCAATAATGTCTTGGCTGCAGTAAGACAAGATCAGAAAACTGATGAGCCGCATCTTCACCTATCAGTTCTTCGCAGTTGCCGAAAGCATCCCTTCATACCTATTGCTTACGTAGTATACACGAAGGAAACTTATGGAGAACTTACATAACAAAACTAACAACAACAGGCATTGATGGGCCATATGTAGGGAATTTAAAATTGGAGGAACCTTTTTAAGCATGCAGTTAGAATATATGAAATACAGGGTGAGGCGCAGAAACTTCCTTTTTTTTTGAAGGTGCATAAAAGAAAGATTATTGCTGATAAAATTTATGTTCAACTAATGAAAGAACATACTTTAAAGTTTTAAATCGTGTAGTTTTAAACAAAATATCTTGAAGGTGGTGGCCACCGTTCTCTATGCACTGATGCAACCGTTTTCTGAAGTTCTCCTCTGCACGTTCCAACATGTGCACCGGAATAACATACTTCAGCTGAAGCAATTTTGTAGGGCGATGTTTAAAAACCTCTGCCTTGAGGTATCCCCATAAAAAATCACAGGGCGTTAGATCAGGTGAGTGCGTTGCCAACGGGATGTGACCTTGAAGTGAGATGAGCCGTCAGGGGAACTTTGCCCTCAAAACTGTCATCGAAGCTCGGGTTGTGTGGGCCGTGGCACCATCCTGTTGGAACCAGCCATTTCCTAGATGCATTTCTTCAAGAGCTGGTTTGAAAACGACCTCAAAATCGACTGTCGAACTGCCTCCACATTTTCTGGCATCGCAACGCTCCGTTGTCGTCCTGATTATTTTTTCACCACACTCTCGGTTGTCTTAAAGTTATCTACCCACAAAACAATCGATTTCCGGTCGAGAACCGGACGTCTGGGCTTAATTCCGAAGTGAGTACGGAACGCACGCTGCACCGCCACGTAAGAATGGTTGTTCGAAAAACAGCCTTCGACAGCAAACGCACACTGCTCACTCGTCCACCTCATGTTTCCTGAGGGGTATTAGACAGAAACTTCCACCGAGCCTATCCCCACTTTTCTGCAACCTCCTGCCCTTCACAAAAAAGAAGTTTCTGCGCCCCATCCTGTACTTCTGCTTTATTTGTGATTGGGATAACCGAGCCGAGCCAAGGACAAGCACTACTCAGCGAAACGTTGGAAAAATTGTCAAAGTGACGTAGGTGAAAGAGATCCCTTAAGTGATTCTGCGAAAGTATNTCTTAAAAACCAGGACGATAGATAAAGTCCAAAAACCCAATATATCAGTGTGTATAACACTTCGTTTAGTAAAAACATTTGTCAAAACTGTGAAGAAGAATGACCATGCTTTTTATATTTGCTGCAGGAATTCCCCCGCTTTAGTGAGGCAAAGATAAAAGAATGATTTTTTGTTGGTCCGCCGATAAGGGAGCTTACAAAAGATATAACTTTTGCCTCTGTTTTGAATGGAGCTGAATGCGCAGTTTCGATAGCTTTCAGAGATGTGTGCGGCAGTTTCTTGAGAAACGGTAAAAAGTAGAGAGAAGGTAGTGGAGAGGCTGTCAGTCATATGGAGCAGTAGAATTGAAGTGTCGCTAAAAATTCATTTCTTACACTCACATTTAGATTTCTTCCCGCATAATCACGGTGCAGTTTGTGACAAATACGGAGAGCTTTTTTTCATGGAAAATATTTCTGTTGTGGAAAAAAGATACCAAGGAAATTGGAGCGTTAAAATACTGTCTTATCAGGAATGTACCTGAGACTAATTACATACGAAAGTCATCGATTGAAATTTGTTTAAAATAAGCACTTAATATTTGCAGTATGATATTGGATTGACGTATGATTAAAATTACATTTCTGAATTAAGTGCATTCATGAGATGATTTTATGATTACATAAAATCATCTCATGAATGCTTGTCATACATAAGGAAACAATAACAGTAATATGTATCAGTATAATTAAGTGATCATGGGTAATAAATACATTGCAAGGAATTGACCGTTGTCTAATTTAATGTAATGTCTTAGAAATTCCTTGGCAGGGCTGAGGGTGACGAAAAATTTCAGAATTGTCTTTCTCAGCTGAGCTTCAAATTGGCACCTTGCAAGTACAATTTG